AACACTTAAGCAAAAACTAATGGCGTCGTGTCTGCCTCTCGTTGCCAGTCCATGTAATAACTTGCTGTATCTAACAAATTTAGGGTCGTCTGCAAAATCATCAACAATGATTAAAATTGAATGTAGTTTCTTCATCTTCTGTACTTTCATATAATGAATTATCTTTCTTTGTGTGTTAATTATTTCTTCCAGTTCTTCAGGTTGGTAGGTGTCATAATATAACTTTTCTTTTTCGTCATCAACCTTCATATTATCTTTTTGATATTTCTTGACTTCAACGAAGGTAGGGTCATTATGAACCGTCGGGCTAAAAATGAATATACGGGCGAAGCAGTCCCTATAAACATTTAGGATAAGGTTTTGAATTAAAACTGTTTTGCCACCCGTTGATGAAGCAACAACAATTGAGCGAAAAGGTAGTTTTTGTACATGTTCATATTTGGATTGTTTGAAATCGTAATCAGTTATATTTATTGGTTTTATTATTGGAACATCAGACATAATAAAATAATATTAAAGTTATTTAGAAAATATTTTATATTTATTATTTTATATGAATAGAAGTTATTCGGATTATATTGATATAATAGATAAAGTAGAGAATATAGAACAAGTAATAATAACCGATAATAAAATTAAGAAATGTTGTTATTATTCATTAGAATTAATTAAGTTAGGAATACAATATATTAAAAATATAAATATTAATATAGATGGGAAGGAAAAAAAGCAAAAATAATAAAACAGGTTTAAGTGTTTCTTCAACCAATGAAGAAAAAGAAGAAATTGTTAAAGAAACATCAGTTATTGAGTTTGCTTGTCCAATGTGTAAAAAAATCTTAGAAATGAAAAATGAATTAGAAATACAAAAGAAAGGAAACTGTAAATGTTCGTGTATTCCGACAAGTTTCAAAATAAGTAGAAATGCTAAGAAAATGAATATTGATAAAACTAAAGACAGTATAAACTTAGAAACAGATGTTCATAATATTGCTATACGATTTGGGAGGGGAGTTACTCCATCAGATAATGGTGATAAGGAAACTCAGGAAACTGTTAAACAAATAATGAAAAAATAGTATTTAAAGAGTAGATTTAACATAATTGCAACATTTAGTTTTAAAAGTTTAGTTTTATAATTTAGTATATATGGATGAACATTTAGCGAACATTGACAGTAGTTTAGAGTTGTTGTTTCCAAGATTAGAAAAAGTGTTGGAGCAAAATGAAAACATACTGAAAATCTTAAAGAGCTTGAATATTAAACCTACATATGATAACAATAACAATTATCAAGCAAAAGAAGTAGATAGAGACAGTAGCGAATACAAAAATAAACGAAACATTTATGTTAAAAACTGAATGAAAAAATCATAAAAGAACCTAAACAATCAAGTCTGGATTACTATCAAGTCAAGTATAAAGAAGATACCAAGAAATACGTTTAATCATTAACTAACAAACTTTCGTGTCTCAAAAGCGGTTTGTTTATTCCTGCTACTTTGTAAGTTTTATTACCCATAATATCATATTCAATTTTATCAATATTGAATATTTTATTAGACCATTTAGAGTTATACTCCTTTCTGTCGGTGTAATTACCCCTTTTCTTTTGAAACACTTTTACCTTGTCGTTCTCCACTATTCTGGGATACTTTCTTGTGTTTTTTTCTCGTAGTTTAAGATTGACCTTTACATTTATTTCATTCTCGTCCTTGTGTGCTTCAGACGGTGTCATCCTTGTTGATGAGTGAGATGTGCTGTTATACTGTTTCAATGCCGGCGTTAGGGCGTCGGTCCATTTCATGTTGTTAAACCTAACTCTATCGTGAATTTTGTTTTTCATCGTTCTAATAAAACGCTCGTCCACATTTGCGTGGGTCTTCGTAACGATGTGGTTTATTCCTTCACTGTTGAAGAAATCCTGAACGTGATTTTTAGTTGCAAACGCTCCGTCGTCATCAGAATACACGGACATCGGATAACCCATCTTTTTAAAGCTTGCTCTCAACGCCTTCAAAACGTTCTCTCCGTCTCTTTCCTCCATCGGTATTACATCTGCTAATTTACTGAAGATGTCAATCACGACTAAAGCATACTGTGGAACGTTCTTGTCTTTTTCTAAAGGAGACATATGCATTATGTCTATTTGATATTCATATCGTGCGAATGGAGCGGTATAGGAATTAGTTCCTCTATAATTTTTGATTTGTTTATTTGGCTGTTTCTTTAAGAAAGACTTGACATCGTCTAATGTTATTGTTGGGTCTTCTTCCTTTGCCTTCTTGTGTGTCGCTTGTGTGCTTCCGAAACCCTCGTCTAAGTCGTAATAGATGTTGCTGATTATTTGGTCTTTTGTTAATCTCGCCATTATATTAAATTGTTAGAAAATATTTTTTCAATATAAAGCCCCACCCCTTAACATAAAATACAAACTACTTAAAGAAAAATGGATATAATATAGTAAGAAAAAAAATGACACTGTTTAATTATGATAAATGTCCTTGTAAAAATAAAAAATTTAAGTCTGTCGTGGCACTAGCTAATATTTTACCTGTTGATGTTTGTAATCTTATAGGTGGTTGTATTAAACCAACATGTTTTGATTGTCGGTATTTGATAGAAGAAGAAGAGCATTTTATGAGTGATAAAAACATTCCTGAAGAAGGACTAGAAAAAGCAGAGCTTCAGTTAAACATTATTCAACAAATACAAAATAATGATATTACACAACTAACAGGATACCATTTTAGTTTAAAACATTACAGAAAAAACATTGACAGAGTATTTGATATACAAGAAGTTAAAGAACGGTTTAAAAATAGAAAAATGTATTATCAAGCATTAAAATCATACTGTAAGAATAATGAATATGAAGTTTGTGTAGTTTTAAAACATTGTCTTAAAGTTGAAGAATTAAAATATTGGAAACAAAATGGATTTTGCTTTCCAAACCTAAACAGTTGGTGGTCATATAGAAATAACAATTATTATTTGAGACATATTCTTAGCGATTTAATTGAAATTTACACAGACCAATTAATAAAAGGATACGAGCATTATTTTTGTGAGTATAGTATGAGTTGTTATAGTGGTTGTATCGCTGGTGAGATTGAATACGGGTCAAATTAACTTTTGTTTATTAATATTATTATCTTATAATATGATTAAACATTGTTTTATAATCTAAAAAGAAGGTTAAGACATTTAAATTAAACCTGAAACCCAGACCAGCCGACCAGCAACCCCCTAGCCAATGAGAGATGTTAATATTATTTTTAAAATGATGTATGAAAGAAGTAAGACAAACCAATTAGATTATTATCCTGAACTGAAATTATAATCATAATATAATAATAACATGTAAAATCTTATATGTTATAATTATACTGAACTTTTAACCTATAAAACATAGCTAGACAATCACATAAAAATCACATAAAAAGAAGTTGTTAAGATATATTAAGAAATGTTTGTGAAGCAAACTATAATGAATAATTATGGAATGACAGAAGAAAAAGCAACAGAAGACTATGGTGAATTATTCAAATGCAACAGATGCCTATATTGATAAAACAATTGATGAATTTGGAAATGTAAAAAGTGGAAAAAGATATAAATATTGTAAAGAGTGTAGAACGAAAATAAATAATTGTAGAGATAAACGTCAAAGAAAACAAACGACCCAGCAACACCCCAGAACTTGATAACTACTAAAAGGGTCAACTCTTTCAAATGAAAAAAATGTTTGCCCCCAGCCCAACAATGAACAAGGCGACAATTTACCCAAATGATTACCTTAACGAAAACGATAAATAAGCTCCCTAAAAACCCTCTTTTAAAAACGAATAAGGGGGAACATAGATTTGAGATGAACATAAAAACCAGAACAGGCAACCATCAACAGACTTCCCCCCCGGCCCCAAAGGAGTCTCAGTGGCTCTGCTGGAAAGCTCGGGACTTGACAAAAGGTCTTTGGCGGGTGTGGTATCAGGATTCTTGTGGCATGCTTGTGTATGCGTTGATGTTTTTTTCATGAGCAGCCTTGGAAGCCATACAAGGGATGGGTTCGGGTGTGCTTCCTTTGCAGCAAAAGCGAATCCCGTTCTGCTGAGCAGGTAGAATACAGGGAGCTACAGTTGGGAGGGTTCACCATTTTGAGACATTCGGTGACACCGCAGTACTTGTAGACAAGGAGAGGCGCATCTGAACACGTGAAGCTTATCCACAACAAAGCCATTTGCGGGTGGGTGGCAATGGCTTACTTGACCAATCATGGGAATCCGTGCATATTTGTACTGGAGCATTTGGGTTCTTCGGTGCCCTCCGCTTCAAATGGACCGGCAGCATGTTTCAGTTCTCCCAGTTATTGCATGTCATTACCACAGTGACATCGCCATGGTGAAATCCTTACCTGACGTGGTTGAGCATGTAAAGCTTAAGTCACGGGTCCAAAAGGTTCCCCAAATGTTCTGGTTGTTGTTGGGAAACATTTTCCAATTTTTGCTTATTGTGGTTTAGTGGTTGAAATCCAACCACTTAACTGCTAACAAATATTGTTTGCTCCCCTTCCAATGTCAACTAAGTTATTTTCTGGTTATATTTTTTCTCTAGGGGCCATGATCCCGCCAATACACTCCCTCGGGCGCCAATGAGAGCCCCTAGCCCGCATCGGGAGCCTTGGGAAGTACTCACAATCTGGAGTCGGGGTATACCCAACATCCACAGAGATGAACTGTGTTTTCTGCAGGTGTATCCCAAAGTCTGAAGAAAGATCCACGTGTCTAATAAATTACCAGAGCCAAAGTGCAAGCTACTGTCTACCCAATGCTTCTGCACGTTATTTTGCGGCATCCGGCACGTGCTTTAACGTGAACCTCTGCAACCTGACGCCATTCGGTTGCAAGGCTGACATTTTTATGATTACCAAGGCGCAGAGCTGGGGCCCTTAACGTTGTCTTGGGGGGGCTCTTCCTGCACCAACCGCTTCCATTGGTGGGATGGTACGCGAGGTGTTGTGCACCCGAAAAAGAATAGACCGGACCCATAGCAGCCTTTTTTTCTGAGCTATTCCGAATGTCCCAAGGGTATAAGCCCAAGGCTTGAATCCGAAGGCTATTTCGATGTTGATTCTTAGGGAACAACACTACAGCATACGACAGCTCCAAATGGCCATGCGGTGGGTCCATACAGTCATCTTTTGATTTTGTCCTTGACAGAAACAGACCGCATATACACAGTTTTTTGTTTTTACTTAAGGAAGAGCCTTGACTCGACCTTGACTCACCTTACCCCTAATTGGTGGTTTGGAGGTCTTCCGCGGCTTCCCGTTTACCCTCTACAAGAAAAAAACAAAGCCCCAGTCCAAACCGCCAAGGGTCTGATTGACGGCCAAAGGAAGCGTATCGCATCCTTTTCGCCAGGTGGACTTGCGCAGCGCGGGCAAGGCCATGACCCCCGCCTCGCTGCTGCAGGAAAAGCGGATCGATCAAATTGGTGGTCGCGGCGCTTGGATTGGAAGGTCGCTGGGGTCTCGTGTGTCTTTTCTTGAGGATACCCCTTGTGGAGTGGCTATAAAGGGAAACCAGAAGGAAAACCAACAAAATAAAACGCGTCCGATTCGTATATAAAAAGACACACCCTATTGTTGGCTTGAATTTGATTGAAAGTTGGATGCATAACGATCGGTAAACGAGAGAATTCAAGGTCAGGTCCCTTTGACACGTGTCTGGTTCTTTGTGAGTCCCTTCGTTGATTGGATGTCAAACATTGGGATTTCTGGAATGTACCTCTAAGTTGCGGCTTTTGATTTGGGGAGCTCTTGAAAATAGTGAGGGTGTTTATCCGGCATCCTCTCATTTGGCTTGATTGATGGTTTGCATTGGTGGTCGGCAGGTTGGGGGGAGCTGTCCAATTCAGGTCAAGCAAGTGACAGAGGTTCAGATGATCAATGCAGAAATTAAGAAGGGGGGAAAACCTCCTAAAATAGTGATTGTTTGGAGTCAGTTTCAAACCCTCGGGGAAATCCCTGCACGACGCGTGAACAGGTGATGAACCCTGCCAAAAGGGAGCAACCCCTGATGAGGGTCCTTTGGATGCATGCTGAATCATTTCAAATTCGTTCAAACCCGACCTTTCAAGATTCCAAAATGGTTCATTTCGCTGCCAAAACTGCGGGTCAGTCCAGAGTTGACATTACTCACTGACTTGGAAGCTGCTGAAACCCAGACCTTTAACGTGTTGATTCGTCTTGCTACTTCTCCTGTTTCACCATTTGGAAGGCTAACCCCCTTTAGAGTATCAAACTCATGACGCAAAGCAGGGTGACCCTTTTTCCGCCACAACATCAAATGAAGCCGAGGGTGCCATTTTGTGCGGGGCAACCCTGTGTAAAATTTGAGAGTATCAAGTCACCAAAACACCAGGGGATTCTTCCTGAGTTCCTGGGCTTGAGTCACTTTTTGGAGGTTTGGGCCATTGTAGGGGCAAGCAACAGGTCAAGGGTTGCATTTTTCGGACCATCAGCTCAGGATGTAGGAAGTGAGACCGGGCAGTGCAAAACGCAAAACGCAAAAACGCCGATGCCCCGCAGGACGGCGAAGGCCGACCCACGCGCCTGGGGGTGACGGCACAGCTGCGGCAGCAGCCCTCGCACCTGGAGGCGTGTGATGTGCAGATTGGATTGGTTTCAATTCAAAATGAAATAGAATCAAGGCAAATGTACTATTATATCTATATCTATTTATCTGCCTATTGTTTGTGTTCAATTAAAAAAAGAAAAGAAACATGGAGTGAATATATATATATATATAATATATATATATATACACACATACACAGGTAAATATATCATATTATTTATCTATTCTATTCCTTTGTTCGCATTTTTACGTACGTACGTAGTATGTGGCTACCATTTGGTTCCCACCACCCGCACACCCGCGGAACCTTGCGCGGAACCTGCGCGCTAGGCCACGCTGCGCCCAGCCTCGCTGCAACTGAGCTTCCAGCGGTGCGACCTCACGCGCCTGCGGCGCCGGCAAACGTCTTGGGCTGGGCTGCGCATGGCTCCGCTTTTTCTTTGAGTCCTCAAAACCACACAAGGGCAAGGGACAGTCCCCTGGCCAAAAAGGGGTGCGGTGATTCTTGAAGCATTCTTGAAATCGGTTTGGATGCGAATCTGTGGATCCACCCCTGGATATTGAAAGAGTACTAAAAGAGGACTAAAAAGAACCTACAGGGGTTCCCCATAGTCTTGCTAGGGCGACATCCTGGAGAAAAATCATCCCTTGTGGGCTTCCTGTCAGGGAATCCCTAGCTTCAATCGCTTATTTAAAACTCAACACCAGCAAGTACCCCATACCGTACACTAGTTGCAAAATCCATTTCGCACCACCGTTCAGAAATTCTAGAATGTTGTTTTCCTTGTAAATACCAACAAACAGTGGTTTTCATGGTTTCAAAGTGATGCATTATTTCGTCCGTCCACAGTAGTTCGGGGGATGTCTCCAGTTACCATTCATACCTTCATGATCCCACATGTTTGTCAGTTAATTGAAATAGATATATTGTGGCCTGGGATTACACCTTCTTTCTCTCACTGGCTTGATCAAGTCAAACCCTCAAGCAGGCCATGTAGGGGATTGGCATGGGCTCCCCCAATGCGACCCAATAGAATTATCAGATCCTAACAAGGCTTAGGGTCTGTTAGGGTCTTCTTTCTCACTCCCCGAGCTCCTGGAGAACCCATTTCTTATAGACGCAAGTGACGATGGGATCCTGACTCTCGGGGACTTGTTCGTTGGGTAGTGGACGTCCGCGTGCCAACGTGGGCTGGGGCCTCCAATTTTCCCTGACAAAACCTTACCTTACATTTGGCTGTGTGCCGACCATACCATGGAGAGGTTATAGGAAATGAGAAGCAATTCAAAGACAGGATCGCATTTTGGGCCCAAAGGAGCGCATGTTGTCCATGGGTGGGAGCCCCCAAACCATGTTTCTCAACAAGAGAGGAGTGAAACCAATAGACATGTTATCGCCCCGAAACAAGCGACACAACCCTTTGATTCCATTTTGGCTCAATATCAACCATAGATGGCTTATAGGGAGCTTGGGCGTTCTAGAATGAAGCTCGCGTGGGCATTGCTTGTGATTGCAAAGGCAGCTGAAAACCTAAACAAAATCCCTGAATTCTTTTGACGCTTTCTTGGGGGTGTCAGTCAGAAACAGGGTGGTTTCCCTGAATCTCCACTTAGGGGCTAGAGGCGGTATTGAAGCAGGCCATGCAGAGTAATGTAGGAACCGAGGAAGAGCGACCGTGGTACATGAAGCCATGGACCTTCAATAGCCAGGGGCTCGACTTTCACGACCAGAGCACGCACGATTCGCCAGACGGGCCCATCACGAGTCCTGGGGCACGGGGTCGATGTTGGGTGTCCGGCCTAGGAATCATGACTGGACACTTTCAAGAATGGTACGAGCGCAGTGCCGCCACTTAATGAGTGGGAAGCGATCTTGCGGAATCTGGAGCTAACCGGAGACTCCAACGGCAAATCACAGTTGTCCCTTGGAGAGTGGATTTTCCTTCTGCGTTTGGAACAGAAGCTGGGCTTCAAATTTCAGGAATCCCCCATACGGTTTGTGGGCTTGAACCTCTGAATGCTAAGGGAGACCCCTTCAACCTCCTAGCAACTGCAAATCAGCAACAAAATAGCAACCTGGAAGCGTCTTAGCCTACCACTTAGCCCGACTTTGTTCCTGGTAATATGGAGCCGCAGTTCCCCGGATGGAGGTCCCTTTGGAAACCTCGCGTCCCTCGCGCCAGTTTGGATGTGCTGGCGCTGAACCTCGGTGGCACTAGCGAGCCAGCTGCGCCAAGCACCCGGCAGCCCTCGCAGGCGAATCGAGCGTTGGGCCTCGGTACGTTTATATATATATATATATATATGTATTGATTTATTGATTCATTGGGTTGTGAATTTATTTGTTGAGTTATTTTTTTGTTTTACTCATGTGCTTATTTGTTTATTCATTTATTTATGTATATTGAGGTGTTCCTTTATGTTCATGTTCATTTATGTGTTTATGTTTGTTTCATCTTACTTATTGTTTGATTGTAGTTAAATTTAGTGAATGTGGATTGTTTATTTGCCACGGCCAGAACCTACGACAAACCACTTTAACAGGGGTTGGGGAGGCATGCCTCTCCTCCAAAAGGTGAGCATGGTATATCCACAAAGTTTCTCGTCCGCAACCCTGTGACTTGCAACAACGGCCTTGGCCAAGGAAAGCGAGCTACGTAATGGGGGCATATCCTTTCCAAGACCAAACTGTTATTGGCATGTGTGTTCATCGCATGGGGTCGAGAGAGATACAAATGCAAGGGTTTATTGCCATGTCTAGGCACGGTAGTCACAAGACTGATGTCAATCAAGATACCAATTCAAATCTAACGCATTTATTTTTGGGGTGGGGGTAAACCGACACCATTTTTCCTGCAAACAATTTACTGGCTCTCAGCAAGGAAACTGACTGGGGTTTTGGGAATCAACCGGAAGGGGACTTTCTAGGACATTTCAAGGGACAGTTTGGGGTCCTCCTAACTCATCTACTGAAAACTTCCATTTGCTTAAGAATATTTGGTTATTTTCCTCTGTTGGTTCTAAATGGAACCTCTCACTATAATATATATATATATATGGTACCCCCCCCCCCCCCCAGGGACCTACCTTTTTGATGAATTCACTGGTATTTGCAGTGTGTTCTACCCTTTTTGGGCTTTGGGGAGAGCAATGAAAAAGAAGCATTTCCAAGGACGTTCTGGAAGCTTCAGGCTTGATTTAAACCGATTTAAACCGATTTAACGTAAATCGGGCATGGATTCAAGATTCAAGATTCAAGAATCCAGGCCAAACTTTTCCAGGGATTCTTGAATCCAGGCGTCGATTTAAACCGATTTAAACCGATTTAACTTAAATCGGGCATGGATTCAAGATTCAAGATTCAAGACTCCCTGGAAAAGTTTGGCCTGGATTCTTGAATCTTGAATCTTGAATCCATGCCCGATTTAAGTTAAATCGGTTTAAATCGGTTTAAATCGACGCCTGGATTCAAGAATCCCTGGAAAAGTTTGGCCTGGATTCTTGAATCTTGAATCTTGAATCCATGCCCGATTTAAACTTAAATCGATTTAAATCGGCTTAAATCGAGACCCAAATTCAACATTGCACTTTGCGCGGCTGTACTTTGGCACAGTGTTGTGCAAGCATCCGAGTTCTGATTATTCATTCAATCTGTTTCAATCTAGGCCCGCATTCAAGATTGCAGGTCAAAGTTTTCTAGGGAATCTTGAACCCAGGCTCAACTGAAATTTCAGTCGGTCTCAATGGGTTTCACTCGGGCCTGGACTCGCGTTTGCAAAGAAGACTTGTCTAGAGAATATGGGTTATTTCCTTATCAAATCCTGTTAAATCTCATATTGAATTACAAGTATATATTAGGAAAGGAACTCTATTTAAACTCACAATCTCAAATTTGATTACCATTAGGATTCTGACCAAACATTTCCGTATTGAGTCCCAATTGAATCCTGTTCAAGTTCAAATGAGCATTTAGAGAGCGTTCGTTGGTGGAGATGTGAATTGAGTATGAAAATCGCTACAAAACACTGTGGTTTACGGTGTTTTCTGACCAAGGTAGTGTTAGGACTAGTGAAAGACACAAGTTTGGGACCTTTGGATTCTTTCCTTATGCATTCCACTTAGTATGTTTTATCAAATTCAACCTTATTTCTGATTGAAATTCAATGGAGCTTAAGAAGGACATACTCCAGCCAAAATTGCGATTTAGATTCGAACTTAAATATTGACTGTTTATGTCAAATTAAATGGCACAAACTATTTTATGTCCAATAGACCATTGTACATTGAAATTCAATCACTTTCAGAACTAGCTAGTCCTAGTTTGGTCCTAGTCCTAGTTGGGAAATCCTTGGTTATAGGCCAAGTATGGTCCCAGCTTACTGAAATACATAGAACGTATAAAGGACACTACAAAGGAAGTTCGTTATGAATTGTAGTTAATATATTAGTCAAGTTCTATGCAACTTCTAGCTGCACAATTGAATTTGAAATAAGGAGAATATCCAGTCAGAATTTACATGTTAGGACCAAATATTAGACAGGACCTTTTTTTCCACCAGAATGTAATACTTGACATCCAAATACTATAAGAAGTAGAATTAAATGGTCTAGTCCTAGTTTGGTCCTAGATGAGAGATCCTTGGTTCTAGTGTTAGGTTGCTCCCTAGTTTACTGCAACAAGTAGAAAATATACAGGACATTGCAGAGGAAGTTATACTTGAAGTTCATTTTTTGTAAGAATCTGAGGTGGGTCGTCTAGTCCTAGTTTGGTCCTAGTCCCAGTTCAGAGATCCTGGGTTCTAGTCTCATTTGGTCCTGGTCCTAGTTGAGAGATCGTTCCTCCCAGTCCTAGATGGGCAATTCATGCACTGGAGAGGCAGCCAAAAGGTAGGCATATATATATATATATATTCTGGAAATATGCTCCCATTTTGCAGCGGGCGAAAAAGCAAACGGAAGAAAAGCTGCAGGAAAAACTCACTCCTGATTTTAATTGTAAATACCAAGTTCCGTGACTCTTGTTGTGCCACTCAGGAAGTGAGAAAACCGATCCTGCAGCTTGCTCGCAGGTGAGCTCCTTTCATTCTGCGCGCGAGTCTGAAAGCACTACCACACATCCCAGGCCGGAGCTCAGCTGAGCGGTCAGTTCGGTTGAAGGCGGCGTCGCCTATGCGGTGCCATGTCAACTTCGGATGAAGCCGCACCCACTAGACAGAGGAGCCCCAAAAGTTGATAATGTTTGAATGACAAAAGGGAATTCAGTCGGAATTCGGTCTAGGTCCAGGGTTTGCTATGTTTCCCTTAGGCCGCTTTTAGCATCACGGGTTTTGGAGTTGGCACCTCTTTGTTGGTGGTTTTAAGGGAAACCAAAAAGAAATCCGAAGCCATTTTTGTTGGGTTCGATTCCTATTTTCAGACATATACATTCTCGTTGGTTTGGTCAGTTTAAAGTGAGGGGAAATACAAATCAGAATCCCTGTTTAGGTTGGCTTCTGAGCGGCCTGGTTCCTGGTTGGGCAATGCCATGACATGGTGTTGTTTTTGCTGGGTCTTCTAGCTAAACCGAGAGGCCCCTGTTGCATTAGGGAATATATTTGTATCTATATATTTATATTGTGAGTGCTTTCTAAACCTTTACAACCAGGTGTGGGTCACATGAAACCAGCCATTCGATTTGTCCAACCCAGGCAGGGTGTGGCAAAGTGTGTGGAATATGTCAATTTCCCAATAAATATGAAATGTCCTCTTGGAGAGCCAGCAAGTTTCTCCGTGGCTCACCCTTTGGCGAGACGAGCCCTCCCACGCGAGACGCGCGTCACGAGTCACAGGACGATGAGCTTCGAAGTTCCCAGCCGTCGCAGCTCCGTGCTGGCGCGCGCCCCGGTGGGTGTGGTCCTTGCCCGAGGTAGTATGCGTTTTCCTCACTACCCTGAGCTCAACTGGCCTTGATCGTCACTTTTTGGTGTTTGGACCGTGTTAGTGGTTACAAAGTTTGGACTTAAGAAGTGAGCTTCAGGTTTCCAACATGTTCGCCTTTTCGGATATGGTATTGAGGTTGGTTTAAGAGAGACCCTTCCTCCTGGTGCGTGAGCCAAAAGAAAAGCAAGTATAAAAATCCAGCATTCGGAGGCTACCTCATTTTGACTGGCTCACCCCAATCTCAAACGCGTTGAACTTTCAGTTTTTCTACGTGTTCAAATCATGTGACACAAGGCTCTGGGATTTGTACCAGATGGTTTACTTGTTGCGAGAAGCTGTGACATTGATGGGCTTTCCAACTTGAATGGTGAAATGATGTGCCGGGAAATTCAACGGTCCTTGTTTGGGGCAGGAGCTGCTAGACAAACTCACGATATTGGGGCGGGGGGGTGTCCGAGGGTACTCTTTTTTGGAATTGCTTCAACTGGACACCGAAAAGCAATCATGTTTGGAGAGTTTCATATCCCATTTGGAGACGACCCATATGTTCATTCATTTCCGAGGAGACCACAAGGAGTAGATCATCCTTTGGCGTCATTGGGGGTTGTATTACGGTGCAACGCACAGTTTTTCCCTGGGTTCATTTCGTCGTCCTACACATGTCTTCTTCGGGGCGTTTCACCAGCAACCCCGGCAGCTCTGAAAAGCTGGCGTTAAACAACAGATCAAAATTCAGGAAACATGGTGTTTGGGTTGGGTTGCTAAAGCCAAGGCAGACCTGGACCTTTGGTGTGTACATGTCACAATTATCATACATATATGCATATAAACATACATGCATACATATATATATATAGACATGTGTCTTTTGTGTTGGGGATACTTTCTTTCGGAATTGCTTGCTTTCGGAATCTGAAGGAATTCCAATGGGGGTCCCCTGGGCAAAGGTTTCCGGCGGAGGCGGCGGCCTCGCCAATCCCGAGGCGGCGCCAAGGGCGCGGACCTATGCCTCGCGGGCCCGCAGTCAGGCGCTCGCTGGCCGGTTGGCTCGTTCGATCAGCGGGCTCCATCGCAACCTTTCGGTGGGCGGGTGCTGTTGTCTCTCTCCTAAGACTTTGGTCCATCTGGATGACTCAAAAGATACATGTTGCCCATTTGAAACATGGCTTTTTCCACTAAAATAAAGGGAAACCACTATTTACAAGGCAATGTTCAGGTGTTGCATGTAAGGATCCCTGCTATTGTTTCAGCTAAGTGGGTTAAACCATCAATTCCCAGCCAAGGCCAAGAATGTGTGCGTGCGAAACTCCTCGGCGAATGTTGGACAAAAAGAGCGTTTGTAAGCTTGGACGATGATCTTGGATTCCTCGGATTGATGGAAGCTGGCGTGCACATCCGAGAGATCTCTATAACATGAATTGATGTCCAACCAAAAGTTGTATCGCCACCATTGTTGTGTCATGTTTTGTCAGAAGAGAGGTAGCATAAGGATGGTTGGTGTCCTTTAACTTTTCCGCTTTATTGACCCCAACAAAGGTACACTCAAGCAAACACGGATCGATCTGGCTTAGCTCTCGTCAGCAAGACGCCTTCTGCTGCCTTCAGCTCGCGCTAGGAGTTTGCGCCACCCGTGCTTCCTGGGACAGGCAGGGCCCGCTTCTATTTGAGATCACGTCGTTGTTTTGTTCAATGGTGTTGCAGTGCATCCACACAGAGCGATGGCACCTTCCCCAACAAAGCACATGCACCCCGTATGAGGCCATGTTCAGTGACTGTGTTCCTTTCATATAGACCCTTTGTAGTGGCCAAGGTTTGTTTTTGAAGCCCCGGCAGTGCGGAAAATGCCTGGTTTCTCTTAAAAGAGGGGTACAGTCTTGGAAGTCTCTTGGCCCTAGAGACTGCCTTAATTTGCAGAAGACTACGAAGAAGGCCAGGCGGAAACATGTTTTGGGTAACATCTGGGACAGGTTCAAAACAAGATAGGACCACCCAGGCATACAGGTGGGTGAGATCACAAACATGCGGCGTTAGGAAACGAGGTCCAGGAGTCCACGCGGGAAGGTTGGAGAACGAGGTGGGAACACCATTCAAGCATGTCGCAAGTATCTGCCGTAGCCTCACATGGAACGCACATCGCTTCAACTGGAAGCTGGGTTTGATTAGCTTTCCAACAATCAAAGGGACATCCCTACTTGTGGGTTTTGACTTGCCCCCTGTTTCGGAAAATGCAAAGGCCCGGGCTTTAGTTTTGTCGGATCCCAGCAAAATTCCCACAATATCGTCAAGTGTGGTCTGCTTGTGCTGATCAAATGGGTGGACCCATTTTGGATGCGCTAGGGGAAACCAACGGATATGTCCACTCCCGCCGACCAATATTGAAGTGCACAGACCTCTCTACAAGGGCTTTGTGCACTTCCATGATGGTTGGTGGAAGGGTACGAGTACCCGTTTTGTAAAAGTCACGCATATTTCACCCATGTTGCCATTTGTGGCGCCTGTTCATCAGGAATGTTTGACCCATGTCGCCTGGTCCTCCATGTCCCTGTTTGGAACAAGCACAACCACCAGTAAATTCGAGGTGGAACTCCAGTGGCCCTTGACAGAGGTGGCCAATGTAGATGCTTACATGCTAGTACATGCTCTTTGCTTGGACGAAGGAAGTTTGTGTTTGTGAAGGGCGATGTGTAGTGGAATGTGTAGTGGGCCAATGGCATCATATTCTTATATATATATATAGACATATGTATATTGTATATATGTAATATGTATGATTGAGTGCCGCTGGCTGCCATTTTGCCGTCGATGTTCTGAGATGTCCCACATCAACCCACCACCGTGCGTGTACGAACTCTTCTGAGAACCCCTCAAGGCCAAGGGTTTTACGGGGGGGTTGACTGAGCCTTGAGTCAAACTCTGCCAGTATTTGCGCTGTCCAAGGCACTCTAGTTTCAAGGAGAAACCAAAAGGACACTGCCATTTTCGGGGCTCCGCCATTTTGGACGAACCGCGTGTCCATTAATTCCAATTGATTTCACAGGCACTGGGGTGCATCAATGGGTTTCTACTTGTGCGAGATCCCCTGGTTGCCACCCAGTGCTTGTTTTGTGTGGCCAAGGGTCGCTGGCTTTGCTTGAGCAAAGTGTCATGTCTTTTGCTTGCTATATTGCTCTAGGGTGTTCAACTGAGTGTGGGGTCGCAGGAGGCCAAGCTGGCTGGTGAAGAGCTTTCCGAAATGAGTTTTGTACCCAGAATGGGATGCCTTACCCTATCATGCCTATACAAGGTGCGGGAGGGGTACACTATATAAAGAAATTCATTCGGTTTTGCGTCGCGTTCTCAATTGATTGATTGGATGATACGCGAAAACACATGTTCAAGTGAAAGAAACAACCAAGCAACAGCGCAAAAGAGCTTACCTTGTGCCCCTGCGCCCAGACCACGCTGAGCCGTTTACCTTTCAGCCGCTGGGCTTGTAAAGTTCGGTCGGTCCCTGAAAGTCATGAGCCGATACCAGCGGATGGGATGGCAGTAAAGGGCGACCTCCCTGGGGGGAACACCTGACTCGATTTGATGTGAGCTGCTTGTTTGGCTTGCAAAGCCTCAGCGCCGCAAAGCACGCATTCCGCAGATATGAGCAGAGCTGGCACCATGAAAAACATGAGGGACTCAGCAATGTGCACGTCACGTCAATGGCTCTATGGTGGCCTCTAGAGATTTTAATGGACGAGCCTACATTCTAGCTGACCAATGTTTATTCCCATTGGATTTAGTGGATGGAGCATAGTTTCAGTGGAGCGGATGGGCGGATTCCCTGCTTGATTTGCCTGCAAAGTGGTGCCTAGGGAGAACACATCAACGCAAAAGCTGCAATAGTGGCCATTGTCTTCCCTCAGATTCAAGTGTGTTGGTTTTTTGCTTGGCTGTTCAACCTAATTACTTTGTGGGAAGGTCATAGCCAACGGTATAAGTCAGTCAGACGTTTGGACATTCCAAGGGCTTGCGGTGTTGGGTTGGTGTGTAGAGATGCGGGCTGAGGCTGACCACCCCGCCCTCACTGCGGATTCAAGCGCCATGGCTGCAATAGCCGGAAGTTGGTGTGTCCTGAAATTACCCCCCCCCCCCCCCAAACAAACAAGAGGAGCCCGGGAACCCAAAAGCAAACCAGCCTCACTCCCCATGGCATGTGGATCCCGTTGTTTTCCGGCTCAAGGGTCCGAAGGCAAACCAAGATTTAAGTTGTTCACAGTTGGGAAATCAACCCCAAAACAGATGAAGAAGGGGAGCAACCGCGACTCAAGCGCAGAGAAACAGGCAAAGGCACGGGTGAAACATGACAGGCCCCGCACTACATGGAAGGCACGAAGTCATCTGATTCATCATGAAGAACCAATCGCAGAAATCCGAAAATGGATCCGCACAAACTACCACTCCCAAATTGGAAGCAAGGCATAAGCTCGCTCTACACCCATCTGAAACAAGTCTGAGACACAGTGTTACAACACGATCTGAGTAGACCGTGGTCAGCTGTTCGGATGTTCATGCGCCCTTTTGTTTGGGCCGAGTGTGCTCAGCATATTCATGTCAACGTGCTTCCAGGCTGCTTCCAAATAAGTAGGGCGAACCCCAAGAGGCCACAGACTCTGAAGAGAGGGTTCGTCCTAGAAACACATTGGCGCCATTTGTTCGGGTCAGGTGTGTGGCAAAAAGGACAATCTTGGCGCACCTGGAACGCCGGGCTGTTCACATGGAGCCGCGCACGTGGCCTTCACAAACTTGCTTCGTAAGCTTGCTTGGATTCGTTAGTTTCTCCACCTATTTTCCCATTCGCAACCAATTGCAACTGGTGACTTTGTGGAAAGGGCCGCGCACGTTGTCAATCGGATGCGTGTGGATGGCAAGTTGGGTGGATTCGCCGCAGGTGTGTGGAGACGGGGCCGGCGCTGCGCTTTTGCGGGGGGCTCGGTGTGGACAAGCCTCGGTCACTTGGTGGGTCTGACGCCTGTCTGAAACAAGTCTGAGACACAGTGTTACCACGATCTGCGTAGACCGGGGTCAGCTGTTCGGATGTTCATGCGCCCTTTTGTTTGGGCCGAGTGTGCTCAGCATATTCATGTCAACGTGCTGCCAGGCTGCTTCCAAATAAGTAGGGCGAACCCCAAGAGGCTACAGCTTCTGAAGAGAGGGTTCGTCCTAGAAACACATTGGCACCATTTGTTTGGGTCAGGTGTGCGGCAAAAATGACAATTGTTGGCGCACCTGGAACGCCGGGCTGTTCACATGGAGCCGTGCACGTGGCCTTCACAAACTTGCTTGGTAAGCTTGCTCGGATTCGTTAGTTTCTCCACCTATTTTCCCATTCGCAACAAATTGCAACTGGTGACTTTGTGGAAAGGGCCGCGCACGCGTGTGGATGGCAAGTTGGGTGGATTCGCCGCAGGTGTGTGGAGACGGGGCCGGCGCTGCGCTTTTGCGGGGGGCTCGGTGTGGACAAGCCTCGGTCACTTGGTGGGTCTGACGCCTGTCCGAAATAAGTCTGAGACACAGTGTTACCACGATCTGCGTAGACCGGGGTCAGCTGTTCGGATGTTCATGCGCCCTTTAAATTTTGTTTGGGCCGAGTGTGCTCAGCATATTCATGTCAACGTGCTTCCAGGCTGCTTCCAAATAAGTAGGGCGAACCCCAGGAGGCTACAGCTTCTGAAGAGAGGGTTCGTCCTAGAAACACATTGGCGCCGTTTGTTCGGGTCAGGTAGCGCCGGGCTGTTCACATGGAGCCGCGCACGTGGCGGTTGCCACATGTCATGAGCGTCCACCGCGCCAGTCTTGCTCGCCGGAATGTCACGAGCGTGCACCGCGCCAGTCTCGCTCGCCGGCATGTCACGAGCGTCCACCGCGCCAGTCTCGCTCGCGGGCGGTTTCCGCATGTCACGAGCGTCCACCGCGCCAGTCTCGCCCGCGAGTGATTTCCGCATGTCACGAGCGTCCACCGCGCCAGTCTCGCTCGCGGGCGGTTTCCGCATGTCACGAGCGTCCACTGCGCCAGTCTCGCTCGCGGGCGGTTTCCGAGGGTCACGAGCGTCCACCGCGCCAGTCTCGCTCGTCCGCCTTTCACGAGCGTCCACTGCGCCAGTCTCGCTCGCAGGCGGTTTCCGCATGTCACGAGCGTCCACCGCGCCAGTCTCGCTCGCGGGCGGTTTCCGCATGTCACGAGCGTCCACCGCGCCAGTCTTGCTCGCGGGCGGTTTCCGCCTGTCACGAGCCGCGCCAGTCTCGCTCGCGGGCGGTTTCCGCATGTCACGAGCGTCCGCGCCAGCCTCGCTCGCGGGCGGTTTCCGAATGTCACAAGCGTCCACCGCGCCAGTCTCGCTCGCGGGCGGTTTCCGCATGTCACAAGCGTCCACCGCGCCAGTCTCGCTCACAGGCAGTTTCCGCATGTCACGTGCGTCCACCGCTCCAGTCTCGCTCGTGGGCGGTTTCCGCCTGTCACGAGCGTCCGCCGCGCCAGTCTCGCTCGCGGGCGGTTTCCGCCTGTCACGAGCATGTCACGAGCGTCCACCGCGCCAGTCCCGCTCGCGGGCGGTTTCCGCCTGTCACAAGCGTCCGCCGCGCCAGTCTCGCTCGCGGGCGGTCTCCGCCTGTCACGAGCGTCCACCGCGCCAGTCTCGCTCGCGGGCGGATTCCGCCTGTCACGAGCGTTCACCGCGCCAGTCTCGCTCGCAGGCGGTTTCCGCATGTCACGAGCGTCCACGCGGTTTCCGCATGTCACGAGCGTCCACCGCGCCAGTCTCGCTCGCGGGCGGTTTCCGCATGTCGTCACGAGCGTCCACCGCGCCAGTCTCGCTCGCGGGCGGTTTCCGCATGTCACAAGCGTCCACCGCGCCAGTCTCGCTCGGGGGCGGCTTCCGCATGTCACGAGCCTCCACCGCGCCGGTTTCCACATGTCACGAGCGTCCCCCGCGCCAGTCTCGCTCGGGGGCAGTTTCCGCATGTCACGTGCGTCCACCGCTCCAGTCTGGCTCACGGGCGGTTTCCGCCTGTCACGAGCGTCCACCGCGCCAGTGTCGCTCGCGAGCGGTTTCCGCCTGTCACGGTTTCCGCTTGTCACGAGCGTCCACCGCGCCAGTCTCGCTCGGGGGCGGTTTCGGCCTGTCACGAGCATCCCCCGCGCCCGTCTCGCTCTCGGGGGCGGTTTCGGCCTGTCACGAGGTTTCGGCCTGTCACGAGCGTCCCCCGCGCCAGTCTCGCTCGGGGGCGGTTTCCGCTTGTCACGAGCGTCCACCGCGCCAGTCTCGCTCGCGGGCGGCTTCCGCATGTCACGAGCGTCCACCGCGCCGGTCTCGCTCGGGGGCGGTTTCGGCCTGTCACTAGCGTCCCCCGCGACCGTCTCGCTCGGGGGCGGTTTCGGCCTCTCACGAGCGTCCCCAGCGCCAGTCTCGCTCGCGGGCGGTTTCCGCTTGTCACGACCGTCCACCGCGCCAGTCTCGCTCGGTGGCGGTTTAAGGCCCGTCTCGCTCGGGGGCGTCACGAGCGTCCCCCGCGCCCGTCTCGCTCGGGAGCGGTTTCGGCCTGTCACGAGCGTCCCCCGCGCCCGTCTCGCTCGCGGGCGGTTTCCGCTTGTCACGAGCGTCCACCGCGCCAGTCTCGCTCGGGGGCGGTTTCGGCCTGTCACGAGCGTCCCCCGCGCCCGTCTCGCTCGGGGGCGGTTTCGGGGGCGGTTTCGGCCTGTCACGAGCGTCCGTTGCCCCGCGCCCGTCTCGCTCGGGGGCGGTTTCGGCCTGTCACAAGCGTCCACCGCGCCAGTCTCGCTCGGAGAGTTTCGGCCTGTCACGAGCGTCCCCCGCACCCGTCTCACTCGGGGGCAGTTTCGGCCTGTCACGAGCGTCCCCCGCGCTCGTCTCGCTCGGGGGCGGTTTCGGCCTGTCACGAGCGTCCCCCGCGCCCGTCTCGCTCGGGGGCGGTTTCGGCCTGTCACGAGCGTCCCCCGCGCCCGTCTCGCTCGGGGGCGGTTTCGGCCTGTCACGAGCGTCCCCCGCGCCCGTCTCGCTCGGGGGCGGTTTCGGCCTGTCACGCGCGTCCACCGCGCCAGTCTCGCTCGGGGGCGGCTTCGGCCTGTCACGAGCGTCCCCCGCGCCCGTCTCGCTCGGGGGCGGTTTCGGCCTGTCACGAGCGTCCCCCGCGCCCGTCTCGCTCGGGGGCGGTTTCGGCCTGTCACGAGCGTCTCCCGCGCCCGTCTCGCTCGGGGGCGGTTTCGGCCTGTCACGAGCGTCCCCCGTCTCGCTCGGGGGCGGTTTCGGCCTGTCACGAGCGTCCCCCGCGCCCGTCTCGCTCGGGGGCGGTTTCGGCCTGTCGCTCGGGGGCGGTTTCGGCCTGTCACGAGCGTCCCCCGCGCCCGTCTCGCTCGGGGGCGGTTTCGGCCTGTCACGAGCGTCCCCCGCGCCCGTCTCGCTCGGAGCGGTTTCGGCCTGTCACGAGCGTCCACCGCGCCAGTCTCGCTCGAGGGCGGTTTCCGCCTGTCACGAGCGTCCACCGCGCCCGTCTCGCTTGGGGGCGGTTTCGGCCTGTCACGAGCGTCCCCCGTCTCGCTCGGGGGCGGTTTCGGCCTGTCACGAGCGTCCCCCGCGCCCGTCTCGCTCGGGGGCGGTTTCGGCCTGTCACAAGCGTCCCCCGCGCCCGTCTTGCTCGGGGGCGGTTTCCGCTTGTCACGAGCGTCCGCGCAAGCCTCGTACGCCCGGTCTGCACCCCCAGCCAGCATCGCACGCCCGGTCTGCAGCACAACCAAATGGAAATCCCTTCTTATCTCCGTTGTCACAGCTTGTATCGCTCCCAGGCACCTTAAGAGAAAACCTAAAGCAGAACCCAAGCATCAGAGATGCTTTTGGGAAATTTGTTAATGTTGAAACGCATGTGGAAACATGAACTGTGTTGGCAATGCTTGACCATAATGGCGCATGCCATTTTGGCTCAAGCTTTGCCCTGGGTTCTTTGAACTGTGAAAAATTTGAGTTTGAACACTTCCGAACTAACCCCGAACCAGCAATGGCTTCCTCGGCAACCTCGGCAACTTCC